ACATGCCCCTTAGCAACCATAACCACGCCCCAAGAACTATTTCTTAGCAACAACTGTCTAAACACGTCCCCAGCAACTTTATCTCAGCAACGATCGGTAAATCACGCCCCTATATTACATTAACCACGCCCCTTGTTTGTTTTCTTAGCAACCATACTTAGTAACGCGTCTTAGCAACGCTTACCTGGCAACTACTGGTTAGTAACGCCCCTAGCAACTATTTCTTAGCAACAATTGGCTAGACACGCCCCTTAGCAACATTAACCCTGCCCCTTGAGGTTTTTTATTGGCAGCCGGTACATAGTTACACCCCTCAGCAACCTTAACCACGCCTCTCAAAAGTATTACCTCGCAACTATTAATTGGTAACGCCCCTAAGAATCTTAGTTACGCCCCCCCCCCCCCAAAGCCATAAACCATGCCCCATTCACTATTTCTAAGGCGTATTGGTTGGAAACGCCCCTAATAGTTTTTGACACACCCCTAGCAACTATTACCTAGCAACGAAGCTTGACAGGTGTTGATTTTACTTCTTATTGTTAAAAAAAAGTACTTTCAAGTTCCTAGAGGTTATTAAGGAAATAAAAAAGCCTAATTTCAAGCAATAAACAATGTTTTTTTATTCAATACAAACTATATGGTACAAAATTTATACACAACAACGCACAGTTTCATTATTTGTTCTCCTTATAATTTATTTAATCTATGATCATCATCATCTAATGTAGTAATTAGTAATTATCACTCGATTCCATAAATCTCTGTCATATCCTCAGCTCATAATCACTCTAGTTAATCTATTTCACACAGAAAGTGGGTACAAAGGGCCAAAACTTGATAATTACAGGTTACAGGTTATAGGTTAATCCTTAACAATTAAAAAATCATAAAAATAAATGTGTTCTTTCTTAAATCGGTGAAGAAGAAACTCCTACTTATTAAACTAATCAGTCGATTTAACGGACTCGGTGGAGAAAGGTGGCCTTTTTAAATTATCATCGTCTATGGTTCCAGTTGTTCCAGTAGATGTCATCATCATCATCATCATCATCATCATCATCTTAATCGTTAATTTTATTTTTAGCTCCCAAACATCAACACAACTCGATCTACGAGCTATAACCAAATCATATCCAGTAAACTCTCCAGTCTTACTTAGAATCTAGGTTGTTCTAATACAGTTCTAATATATCTAGTGACAAGTTTACGAGGACATATTTTTTAACACAAATTTAACATTTTTAATTTTACAGTTATTATTTTAGTTTGTTCTGTTTCCTCGCTCACTCATCGTCATTCTAACTATTTTTATTTTATTTGGTGAATTATGTAATAAAATATAGTCATTGTCGATGTTTGTTTAAATTACAGTTCTGTTTTTAAATAGTTTTGTTTGTTGACACAGATGGTGGCTCCATCTATTAGATTTAGTCTTCAGTTTAAGTTCCATTTAACTAGAGTAGTTTGGAACAGGACAACAGATGGAGTTGCTTAAGTCGAAAGTCGAATTTTGACTTTTTTTTTAATAATTGTAGTTTGGTTAAGCCGTAAAAAATTTTTATAGCCATTTTTAAAGTAAATTTGAGATTTAATTAATTTTTTTAACCAAAAAATCTAAAAATTTTTATTATAAAAAATTTTTTACCATTTTGAGATAAAATTTCAAGTAGGATTATTTTTTTTTTTTAATTAAAATTAGATGTTAAATTAAATTTTGTCCAATTTTTACAATAATTTGATGATTTTTAGAACTTTGTTTAACCTCAAAATTTTTTTAAATTCAATAAAAAAATTTTTTAATCAAAATTTTACGTCAAATCAGTTTATTTTTTATGTCAAAAATTAAGAAAAAATCAAAATTGATTCTGAGTTTACAAGAATTACCTGATTTTTGTAACTTTGTTTAACCTCAAAATTTATTTGTAAAAATTTTCTAGTATTTTATTAAAATTTCAAGTGAAATTAATTTATTTTAAGTAAAAATTTGATGTAAAATAATATTTAATCACCAATTAACAATAATTCATTGTTTTTTGTAACTTTGTTTAACCTCAAAATTTTTTTAACTTCTAAAAAAAATATTTTCTTCATTGTTAATCAAAATTTCAATTCAAATTAATTTATTGTAAGTATAAATTTGATGTAGGATAAAATATTGTTCATTTTTGCCTATAAATTACTGATTTTAAAAACTTTGTTTAACCTAAAAAATTTTTCACCTTCTCTAAAAAATATTTTCGTCAATTTTAATCAAAATTTGAATTCAAATTAATTTATTTGATGTTAAAATTTGAAGTTTGATAAAATATTACTTAAAATTGACTGATTTTTGTAACTTTGTTTAACCTCAAAATTTAATTACTAAAAAAAAATTATTTAATTAATTTTGATCATAATTTCAATTCAAATTAATTAATTTGATGTTAAAATTAAAAATTTAATTTATAAGAAACAAAAATTGACTGAATTTTGTAACTTTGTTTAACCTCAAAATTGAAAAAGTCTCTTAATCATCATTTTAATAAAATTATCGCCATATTAATAAAATAAGCTCCAAAAAAAAAAAAAAAAAACGTAGTAAAAATTTGATTTTCGACTTGACATATTAAAACTCTAATCAGGAGTTAAAAAATTGGTCATTGTTATAAAATAAATTTGTTCGAATTCTTAACCTAATTTATAGTCAATGCAATAGCCACATGACCGACAGAATAATCATTAATTTAATGATTAAAAATATAAATATAAATAGAAACAAACGTTTTTAGGTTAAGCCATCAGCTTAAGCAAAGATAAGCAATGCTTGTGTTGATATGTCTCATTAGAGAGTTGCGATTGTACGTAAGTCAATTAAAATAAAAAAATTTTTATGCATTAAAATTATTTTGTCATGATAATTTTAAAAACTAATATATAAATATAAAAACAAATTGCACTTATTTAAAAAACGAGTGCATTCAGCAGATAATGACGACGTTAACGCGAACGCGAAGCCGGCGATGATAACAGTGGCACAGAAATTTAATAATTAATTATTTCAAAATTACAATTACATCTTATGATTATTTTTATATGTATTAATTATAATAAATAACAATAACCATGTTTAACATAATTATTATTATTTTATTATTAAAATTTAAATTAATAATAAGAGTTACACTCATTCTTATATACAACGCTTGTACACTTAACCAAATTTTAAAATTACCTCGGATTTATCCGAGGACGCACACCCGGTGCCTTCTAATCACAATAATAGTCGTTACACAAAAGCCTTACCATCCGATTAATTAATTAATTATCATTAATTATTTATCATATCACTTTATCAAGTTACTATCGAGAGCTCTTTTTATTGGTGATAAAATCATATTGTTCATAACAATTTATGTTTAATAGAACACGCGAGCCCCAGACGTTACATTCACAGCCTGACCGAGTGCTCACCAATCAACTTTTATTGTACGTTTTAATCATGCTTTGTCAAAATCGATAGATTTTTATATTATTTTAGGTTATGTTCCTCTGACGGAAGTTATTTTGCTCGGTTTTTAATTAAAATACAATTGCGCTAAAACAAGTTCCATTTATTGCTCCATGGAACAGCTTTTGCGCATGCGCGAGGTTAGTTCCTTGTTTTAAACTCAATTTTAACTTCTAAATCATAGTTTTTAACAAAAATTTCTGTTCCTAATGATATTAAAAATTACTATTGATAATCAAGTTCCATTATTTTCCCTATGGAACATTTTTTGAGCATGCGCGCAGTTGGTTCCTTGCTCTAAACTCAATTTTCACTTCTAAATAATTGTTCTTAACAAAATTTGTCATAAATTTCCGTTCCAAATTGCATTTAACATTACTATTGATAAACAGGTTCCATTTTTGGCTCCTTGGAACATTTCCTGTGCATGCGCGCAACTTGTTTCTTGTTCTAAACTCAATTTCAACTTCTAATCAATTGTTTTTAACTAAATTTATCATAAATTCCTGTTCTAAATAATATTAAACATTACTATTGATAAACAGGTTCCATTTTTGGCTCCACGGAACATTTTCTGCGCATTCGCGTGACTTGTTCCTTGTTCTAAACTCAATTTTAACTTCTAAATCAGTTTTTAATACAATCTATCATAAATTTTTGTTTTAAATGATATTAAAAATTACTATTGATAATCAAGTTCCATTTATAGCTCCTTGGAACATTTTCTGCGCATGCGCACAATTAATTCCTTGTTCTAAACTCAATTTTAACTCCTAAATAATGAATCTTAATAAAATTTATCATAAATTTTTGTTCCAAATTACATTAAACATTACTATTGATAAACAAGTTCCATTTTTAGCTCCATGGAACATTCTATGCGCATGCGCGCAGCTGTTCTTGTTCTCAGCTCAATTTTAACTTCTAAATAATAGTTCTTAATAAAATTTATCTTAAATTTTTGTTCGAAATGAATGTAACCATTACTATTGACAAACAAGTTCCATTTTTTCGGTACTTGGAACATTTCTCGCGCATGCGCAGTCAGTAAAAAGTTTAAATTCGAATTATAACGTCTAAAAAAACTAAAATAAAATATTTTAACGCAATTTCTCTCCAATATAATGATAATTAAGCCTGTCAAAAATAAAATCCGTCATAAAAACATAACCTGTAAGCAATTACAATAAAAAACCGAGCGTTTAACTAAAAAACCGAGCTCTTATCAACGAATTAGTATTAAAAAATAAAGCAAAGCTACTTCTAAAATAATTACAAACAATTAAACCTAACCACACACTTACAATAATAATAATATTTATAAATAAGTCCACTTGGCAGTGGATTTGAGTATTTATGACTGTAAAATTAGCGCTGACGAGATCACACAAGACGAAAGAAAAGTCAGTATGTAGCAAAATATTCGTCGGTACTAAAAGTGTATAATGTATACCAATAATAATAATAATAATAATAATAATAATAGTAAATAACCAAAAAAATAAATATAAATTTACATAGTATTGTAAACGGGGCTGCTGTGCCTAGGCCTGACCTGCAGCCTGGTGAGCGGATGAGTACGGCCATGTTGTTGCTGTTTTTTCGCGGCTTTAACGACACTGGCGACAACAGCTTGTGGGGAGGGAACGATAGGTGGCCTCCCAGGCGCCTCTCCAGCGCTGGCCTCTGGCAGGAAAACCGCTGAATTAATAATAATGGGCGCAGACCTGCGCGCGAACTCTTGCGGCGCAATTTTCGCTTTAGCCGGCGGGTGAGCTTCTAAATTGTGCGCGCGCAGCTGAACTTCCGATTTTTTAACCTCGTCCTTGGAACCGGGAGGTTTTACCTCGTATTTTCCAACAAGAACCTTCACTGAGAGGTCCTCTAAATCATCATCTTTAATTGAGGTCGCACTGACACTCGCAGATGTTCTTATCTTTGTCTCATTATGAGCAATTACCGGTGAGGAAGGAAGGCTCCTTATCTTATCCCTTTTTACCGACGCCCAGTCGGTAACATTATCACCAGAACCTTCAGGACTTTTTTCAAACTTACTTTTCGCCTCAAATTCCTTCTTAAGGTTCTTAACAATTCCCGCCTTGTTCCTGGAACCTTCGGAACTAGAGGAACTTGAGGAACTCGACGAGGAACAAGGCGGTTCCGGGGAATCATCGACAGACAAGCACCTTTTTCCAAAGTTCGGCTTGGTCAAATTCTCCAGAATCATCTTATGATGCTTTACCGACGGACACTGCGGCGTATTAACCACACAAGGGCTCGAAGTTTCGCTTTCCGACCGGCAGGTTCTCAGCGCCACTGTCGGTAACTCAGGTTCCAAGGCAGAGGGCGCTGGTGCGCTGGTAGACAGCCTGCCAATTTGCCTAGTGATTCCTGTTGAAGAAATGTCAATGCCACCTACCGGACTATCAACAGTCTCCTTCGGTTCCTGAAACGGTTCCGTACTTTCAACCTTATCATCGTTCTGCGTACACACCCTCTTGGTTCCTGTTCCTTCCTCTATTTTCTGCTTGGTTCTCTTCACGGTTCCAGGGTGCCAGGGTATCTCCTCACGGTCATAAGGGAACAGTCCGCTGGAACCGAGAGGATCTGGGTTGGAACGCATGTCATAGGAACCCCAACTGCTGTTCCTGGAGGGCAAAGTCGCCCAGGAACTGTGGACAGAGTTGTCCAGAACTACAGCGCTGTCGTAGCTGCTCCAGGAACTTTGTCTGCTCGGCAGTTCCCGCGGTTCCCGCCGCTCCTCACGGTCAAACACTTTGTCTACCTGTGCGCTGAACAAATCACCTTCTTTTTTTGTTCGCCGTCTACCTGAGATGGCGCTACTGTTCCCAACAGTTCCTGTTCCAACGGTTCCACCCGAATATGTTCCTGTTCCAGTGGTTCCAGTGTTACATGTGGCTGTTACAGCTGTTCCACTAACATAGGTGGCTGTTCCAGTGGAACATTTTCCTGTTCCAGCGGTTCCAATGGAACAAGTGGCTGTTCCACTACCACAAATGGCTGTTCCACTCATATAGGTGGCTGTTCCAGTGTTTCCACTGATATAGTTGGCTGTTCCAACGGTTCCACTGGAACAGGTTCCCGTTCCAGCAGTTCCATTGGAACAAGTGGCTGCTCCAATGATTCCAGTGGAACAAGTGGCTGTTCCAGTAGCAGTAATTGTTCCTAAGTTCACACAGGTGGCGCTGGTGACGTTTATCGACGGAACTTGGACAGATTCAGAGTTCTTATCGGTTCCTGGCTTCGGTTCCGTCCAGACTAGACAATCAGTGTCCATTTTCTGGGTATCCTCGTTCTCTGGACTAGCTTTAAGGTCTGACTCAGGCGACGAGGGCTTGCTGCCAGACTCGAACTGGTTCGTAAGATTCAGCACGAGTCCTCGTCGACGGTGACCTTGGGACTCAAGCTTGTTCCCCGGAGTGTTATTATTATCCGGCCCGGGAAGATGGACTATCTGGTTCTGGGACACGCTGTAAGACTGTCCGTTGTCGCAAGGCATTAAAACGTTCCTGGACTCGTGCTCAGGAACCAACTTGGTAGTTTGTACGTTCCTCAGCAGTTCCTCCCGGGTGATCTCGGTTCCTGTCTTGTCGATGCTTTCCAGAGACTGGGATAAGGCTGGGAGAACATTGTCGACCATCTCGACGTACGGGGACCAGCTCTTGGGCCTTTTTCCGGACTTCTTTAGCTCGGTTCCGGACGACTGGCTCGGAACACTGTTCTTGTCGCTTTCGGGCTTCGTTCGACCTGGTCGCGCGGCGCCACCTGTTGTAGGAGACTTTAAGTTAGTGTCGGATTTGGAACGCTGCAGCTTTTCTTTGTTCTTCATCGCGTCCAGGATTCCCTGGTAGGTTTCTAATTGAAGCAGGAAGTTGTTGTTCGGCTTTATGCAGTTCCGCTTGTCCTTGACGTGCTTCCAGGCCTGGGAAAAATCCCAGTTGTAGGCTTTCATTGCGTAGGCTATCACTACCGAGGCTGAACGCGATACGCCCATCTTGCAATGCACCAACACCTTGGAACCTTCCTTGCGGGCTTTTGTTATATATTTAAAGGTGTCGTCCCAGTGCTTTAGTAAGTCCGTTTTCTCGTCGTCGTACACTCGGACGTTTAGGTAGTTGAACATTCCTGGGAAGAAGTTGTCGATTTCTCTTGTTACGTTTAAGATGTGTTTTACCCTGGAAAAAATTTTATTTTTAGATACATAATAAAGAAATTACCTTGTATCTTATGAACTATTGACATTTTTAATGATATAAGCTCATCCTGATGTTACACTTATCAAGACCTTTCATTTAAGTACCCACATGCATTTTCATATATTTATATATATTATTATAATATGTATATATGAAAAATATATCATTAAAATAAGCTTATATTTTTTAAAATATCAATATTTAAGAAATTACAGTGCAATTTAACAAAATTCATTATTTAATAAAAAAATTTTATTTATTTATAATTCACAAGTCATTATTTTACTAGAAAAAAATTGAAAGTATGAACAAGTATTAGAAATAGTTATGATAAATGAAAGGGAAAGCAATTTTTTTGCTTAATCATTGAATAAAATAGAAATAAATTGTAGAAAATAATAATATTTGTTCACTTTCAATGAAAATAAATTAGAAAAAAAAAAAAAGAAACCTTGAAATTACAAATAAAATTTTGGATAAAAATAAACTCAGTATCAAGAGCAAAAAATATTTTTTATACCCTGGGATTTAAATTCTGAAACAATAAACAAATTAAAAATAAAAATGACAAAGGTACATTGATTTTGTAATCCAAGAGACTAAAGTTACTAAATAGAAATAATTATTTAGAGGTAGAAAAAGAAAAACTTACCCATTCTTTTGTAACTCCTCAAGGTTGCTGGCGTTCCACTCGCTGCCAAGATAAACATGGTCAAAAATTTCAGTAGGAGCGTCCATTTGCCCGAGAATAGTGAGCATTTCTTGATCAATAAACGGCTTGAATTCTCCGAGATCCATATCAAGATCCTCCTCTAGTCTGCCGCGTATGTATTTGGAGGTTACCTCATCCAAGTCCACGGACATCATTATTTCCTTCAAGGTGGCGCGAATTACACCTTCGGTTTCTTCTCGCTCTCGTGGTCTGTTAAATAATTTTATTTTTTTATTTAATTATGTCATAAGAAATAAAATTAAAAAAAAAAATAATAACAATTTTTCGTCCTTAAAAATTATTATCATTTTTAATTTTTATTTATAATAATAATAATAATAATAAGTTATATAGATAAATTTTATTAAAATAACCGTAACTTAAACTTGAATCAATTATAGTTTAAATAACTACAATAAAAATAATATGAATAATATTTGTTCAAGTGTCCAAATTCACACAGTCACAAGTCATAAGTGTTAATGTCATCACGATAAAAAAAAAAAAAAAAAAAAAAAAAAAAAAAAAAAAAAAACTAATAAATTATTATTTTTTAGGCCCAACATGTAAGATAGCGCTGCTCTAATTTAATACTATTAAATGGTGACAAGTGACAAAGAGTTAATAAATTTCTTAAAATAAAAATAATTATTAGGTACTCACTTATGCCTAACACTATCTGGAGATGGCGGCCTCCGAGATTCAAGATTATCCATCGCATGCCACTCATTGAGACACGACCGGTCACTCTCAATTCTCTGTTCATAGTAGCTGACCCAATCATGAGACAATCCGCCCAAAAAATAGTTTTGTTCTCGTGCTTTGCTCGATACTTTGTGCAGTGTCTGCAGTGCTGACCTGATAATAATTATTTTATTAGTAATTAATTTAATTAATTTATTTTATGTTAAGGTATGTAAAGAATAATTTCTAACAAAATATTTTTTAAATTTAATAAAATAATTAAATATTTTGCAGGTTTTTAAGCTTGCGCTTAGAAAATTTATGATGTTAAAAATTCTGATAAAAAAATAATAATTATTATTATTCTAAAGATGAAATAATTAAAATTAAAGGATTAAAACATTGAAACAAGTTCCAAGGTCTTGTTTTAGGTGTTAGATAATAAAAACATGTGTACAAAGAGTACAGAGTATACAGAGTGTAAAAAGATCGTACATTCCATAAAACTGACGCATTTGTAATAAAATACGCCCTCGCCTCTCGTCATCGCATTATCATACAGCCAATTATTGTATTAAAGTATTAACACTCAACAGAATGATATAACCAGAAGCCGCGCGGCTCCCCTGCTGATTAATTAAGAGTCGACGACGCAGTTTAATTAAACAAACGCTGCTGATTGTCAACCAAATGGCTTAATATCGAAATCACGAATCGCAAATCAACAGTGATACGCATTATCGCTTCCGGTTACAAAAAGGGGGAGTGAGAAGAAGGAGGGAAGGAGAAAGAGGAACGGAGGAGGTAAAACCACACGATTCCTTATTACTTTGACCTAACCTTGCTTTATAATCTAATCTAAGTAACATTGTTCGTTGGAAAATTATTTGACAATAAAATCTGACATGGACATAAAAATATTTTTATTGTCTTCAACTTCAAGCGGTTTTACAAATCGCTTTTTATTTTTATGACGTTAAAATTATTATTATTATTATTATTATTATTATTATTATTATTATTATTATTATTATTATGACTAGCAAACTTGCCGTTACTATGTGACTGCCGTAAATTGTGAACGATAAATAAATAAAATTTTGCTTTATTAAATAATGAATTTTGTTAAATTGCACTGTACTTTCTTAAATATTGACATTTTTAAAGATATAAGCTCATCCCGATGTTACACTCATCAAGAGCTTTCATTTGAGTACCCACATGCAATTTTTATATATTTTTCATATATACATATATATATAATATATATAAATATATAAAATATATGAAAAATTGATGTGGGTACTCAAATGAAAGGTCTCGATGAGT